TGCACGATTAGCACCATCGAATTCTTCCGCGTAGGAGGCCTTTGGGTTAATAGTAGTACAAAAACGAACACAAGTGTGCTGACTGTCTTTCTAGAGTATAAAGAGCGTACATACTCGCAGCTGCTCACATATTTCAAATCCAGTCCAAAGTGATAGGCTGCAACATCTGAATATTACAAGGTGCTTGTCCCAGGTGGGTTTCCAGCACGCGCTCTAATAATCTTGAATCGCAAATTGTCATGGTCCTCGCCTGAGGTCTTCATTTCTATTCTCCCCTACTCCCTCCGACAAAGCTGACCATGAAGCTTTCTGTCACTTTCACGTTTTTTGCTGTGACCGTCATGTCATCTTGTGCTACAGCCTCTGTGGTCGATAATCATCACGAAAACGCTATCGTTTCTCATCAGAATGCTTTATCGTGTACTGACGCACAATGCGATGATGACTACGCTCCTGTGTGCGGTTTCGACGACAAAACTTACCCAAACGCGTGCATTTTTCAGGCGACTAACTGTCACACTAATGTTACGATGGCTTATTTGGGGCCTTGTCGTGATAAGTTTGTGGATAACGAGCGGGTACACTCGTCAGCATCGGCTACTTCATCGAGCGGAAAAACGCCTTTACTTCGCGACCGTACTCAGTCAGCTAACGAAGAACGGGGTGTACCCTTACCTAAAAATCAAGCAATACCGCTGATCCCCAAAGGGACCATAGAATATTCTCTGCAACGAAGCGTGATTAATAGCGCCATAAATGATGCTCAATTATTATCTGCAAGTGTACATCCTTACAACTATCTCGAGGCGCTGCATGACAAAAACGCCACCTTGTATTGGCAGGTTTATGGATTTCTCAACTTCTGGTATAAGTGGTTGCACACCCGATCAGTTCACACTGTGGATGAAGCAGCTAATATGCAGACAGTGTTGGCAAATATCGATCGAATAGCTCAAATGCGCCTTGCACAGCTTCCACCTTCCATTTACAGTAAGTACTTATCATACGCCAACCTTTTTAACAACCACTCTGTTAAAAAGGTGATAACAGAAATTTGAGTATTATAACTTTTGTCAAGGACGGATCTTGAGGTTGTAGCACCATTTACTCAGCCATTGTATGTGCTACAATATAAAAACAAAAGCATTGTTACTTTTTCGTTATCTAGTCTAAGGACCTGCCGGAAACAATTTAGTTTCCGGCATAAAATGTCTACTTCAATGAGGCAATTTAGTAATAAAATGTCTACTTCAATGAGGCATGTACTAAATTGTACTAAATTTGAGGCATGTACAATTTAGTACTAAATTTGAGGCATGTACTTAATTTTACTAAATTGTACATGCCTCATTGAAGTAGACATTTTATGCCGGAAACTACTAAATTGTACATCCCTCATTGAAGTAGACATTTTATGATCGATTTTAGTTTTACCCTGAAATGTGAGTATTTAAAATATCTTTTAGCAGAGAGTTTTTAAAATCATCTCCGATTTATTTATTGTGGCTGTTGTCCCCTTCTATTGATGGAGAATAGCGTAACTTGTGCGTACACTGCAACAGGCATCTGTATTGTACAAAGGTAATACTGTACAATTTTACGAGATTCACACTGCACTTCTGAATTTTACAAGTACCAAAGTATTATTTTACTAAAGCTTAGCTGCACGTTAGCCATAGACAGTATACTATGCGAGACATTTATATTTTGTATCAGTCGAAATACTCATAGAAGAGACCTAGTCACGACAGGGCTCGTGCATACAGCAACTTCGCTACGTACACCATAATTAAGGTTACATGTCAAGAGATGCGTTGGTTGTATTTTCGCGACGACAAGTTTCTTGACGTATATAGATGCAGCTGTTCATCTTGAAAAAGATGCGGCAGAAAACTCGACTCACTGCAATATTCTTTAAAATCTTAAATTAATCTCTAAGACATTCCTGCAAGGAAAGTAGCCTCATAAAGACGAACATACCAGAAGATGACGCAGTTACTTTCATTGTCTACACCGGAAGGGCTAAATCAACTGAACTCGCACCGTATTTGCAATCCAGAGCATAAATTAGCAATGACTAGGCTTCTAGCTCTCTTTTTACTAATGTTCTGTGAGCATGACCCATATAAACGTGGAAAATAACTCGAACTCTGAAGATCCTTTTTTTTCAGATTGATCAGAACCAAAATTGAGTTCTCGTTCTTCGTCAATTGCATTCAGATAAGCACAGTCACGAAGCCAAGATATGGTTTCGTACCTCGAAATAGCCGATGTTGACGACCTTGTCCACATTTATCAGAAACATTACTTCACAAGACTCAACTTGTACAGCCTGACATTGCCATTGCAAATAGTGTCGAATTGTGTAGTAGTACCACCTAATGAGGAAGGTATATGCCCCAGGTGGAGCACAATTTTCAGGTCCTACGAATAGTCACGCTGCAATAAGCTGGTAAGACGCATCAGATCCAATCGTATATTTTTCCATTACATCCTGCCGTTTCTGACTATTGTGCTTCCTGTTTCGGTTCAACTTATTCGTATAGATGAAACGAATCAGCGATTTTCAGCATACTCATCGTATCCAAGGTTCGTTCGTGCACCGGACCGATTGCACTGAGCACTGCAGCCTTTGCAGCAACACTAACATGGATCGCGGCTTGCAATTTAATCGCCAATAATTGGCAAAAACTATTTAAAAGATGACACCGCGCCAAGATCACGTCCCAGTGTTGACATTGGCTTTCCGACTTGTTGTCCCTTTTTCATGCGTCACCATCCGTAGATAAAGCTCGGACGAAGCGCGACACCCATGTCAGAAAATCTTCAAGCATGCGGTAATCAGATCCTTTTTAATTTATTTAAATCCATCTGCCCTTACCTTTTCAGCACGGCAGCTTCGGATCTCCCTTGCCGTGATAGTAGCCGTAGATCGGCAGCCAAAACGGATACAATGATCCCACGCGAGAATTCGAGACAAACACAATGCGCTATACTACAGCTTTTTGCGCTGCTGCAGCAGCCACGATCGTGTCGTCACAGCACATTTTTTTTACGAACTTTTTGTCGCCGAATGCGCCTACGGTTGAGACTTTCATACAATTTCAACATGATTTGCTATCACAAACTGTTTTTAAATTAGACGTACTAGCTCCTGTGACCCCCTCGACAGCTCTGTTAATTGATTGTTGTCAAAGACATTGCGTATGTGCCAATCTGCGTCATCATTCCAATGCACATCCTGCCACTGCGGCTATCTCGATGGATTAAGGATGCGCATTACGAGCTGGATGAGGTAGTGAAGGTGATAGCTTAATAAGCTCACCAGACGCAATGAGCAAAGCCATGCTGAGGCCAACAAGAGAGGTCTCTTAGCTGAGAGAAGCACATCGAAACTCGCAGGTGTTTCCGGGGCAAGATATTGCTGCCAACAAATCCGTTGCCACCAATGATGAGCAAACGGTGCTTACTCTTATCGTATGCTTTAAACGTGGACATTTGTGCCACCTTACCATTAATAATAAAAAGTACTATCCTTGCGTAATTTGGATGTATTACACAATTTTTTCGTTATGAGAGAGGATTATTTATTTACTTGAAGAATCTCAAGTTTGCTTGCCAACCACTTAATACACAACCATTCAAAGTATCAAGAGATCATTATGCAAACTTTGTGATTAAGTTAACAAAAAATAGTGCAAGATTTTGTATCTATTGTTAGTCAGGTTTTTTCTAAGGTATCTGAATGTTTGATTTTATTGTTATTTTCTGGGTTCAGCGTTTGCACCACAACCAGCTAAGTGAAAACTATGCACCCTTTCACTGTGTGTAATAAGATATAGACGTTAACATTAGTTTAAAAAATACGTCACTTATGAAACTTAAAAGTCTTTTTAGTTAGTAGGATCTTGATTTCGCTTCTGGGTGAAATGAACAAAGTCATCCTTTGTGTGTTTGCTCAGCGATTGATCAGATCAAAGCTACGTTGGTGAGAAATGCATAGCTACATTTTCGAAGTTCGTAGCATAAATCGTCAATTCGAGAACCGGGTCTAAAATTAAACTGTACCAAATGGTATTTGATCGCGGGGGTGTTCAAATATCTGTCCTCATACAATAGAACACACTTACTCAGATTCCGTTTCTGTCATTAGTTTATTGCGAAGGGAGAGCGCAGTGAGCGATTCAGCGATCAGAAGAGGTAATCGCTCACCTCATATTATGACCAGCTGAAATACATTGACGCGCTCTCATCATGGCGTAAACAGCCATCAATAGAACGGGGTTACACGTACCCTGGTAACAGGGGTGTTTGTCACACGAGATGTGCATGGTGTCACTGCACCCAAACAAGAATAGGTGGTATGTGGCTAGGTAGCCAGTAGTTTTGCATGTATTTAGATCTCACTATATATATTTAGTATATTTAGAAGAACTTTTAAAATTAGGATAATAAATCTATAAAAATCAATTCTGAATTTTAAACCAAAGAGTCAATTAGTCTTGGGAATGCAATAATTACTCTTGGAGTAAGCGGATTGCGATCCGCTAACTCTTATTTGGTTCTTGTAAAGAACGAAAGGTCGGTGACCTAAAGTACACTTCCTCTAGCGCTTAACTACGGCAGCCCCGCTGGACTCGGTAGCACTTGTAGTCAATCTGCATCTGAGTCGTTTAGACTGATCCTCTGTGAGGATGGATGAATTGTCCTCTTTGCGCCAGGACAAGCTGGAAGGGCTTAATTAGGTGATGTCCTTGCTTGGACCTGAGGGTGTGCAACACCTTGCGGCGCAAGGCCCGAGGCAATCGGTGCCCATCTAGAGGCGTTTTCAAGTTTGAAAAAGCGCTGTTGGAGCACCTGCAGCAGAAGATGCCTGCATCGTTTGCGTCCATGTCGCCACCGTCAGTGACGGATGACTTCCCTCGCCCTAAGCCACTCATGTGAGCGTTAATGTCTTTGAGGGGAAGGATGGAAGAATCTCCTGCTCTGGGTGAGAGAGGTCGAGATGGCCATCGTATTCGCCACGCTCCATATCGAT